ATAATGCTCATCCTGCAATTGCGTAATCAAGACCTAGCACATGAAATGCCGAAACTTTATCCATGTCTGTGTTTAATTTTATTTTTAGCCTGATTGAAGCAATGCCTTTATTTTTGCTAATATTCTTTATTTGAATGCTGAGAGGAGGCCAGCCAGACAATTTTACTAAGTGAATATGCAGTGTTCTAAGAAAATGCTGTCAAATCGGCTATGGCACAGCCCAGGGAGCAGACAACAGTCCAGAAAATTGACTTTAAAAATGAGTTCAAAGCTCGAGGGTGCACTGACGATCACTGAATTCCCGTAGTTTGGTGGCAAACAGTGTTTTTCTAAACAGATGCGGTCAATTGGGTGATTATTAGGTTTAAACTAAGATAGGCGGTTAATTTTGGTTATAAGCGTTTATCTAAAATAAAATAAAATATAACCTCGATTGTCTGAGGTAGCTTCCAAGAACGGGAATTTTGCGATTCTTTTGCTCTATTTGTCCAAATTAATGCTCAATTTAAAATTGAAACATGTTTCCGGCTATTTGCACCATTCTGCAATGAATTAATGAATTAAAGACCACTTTAGGTATTTTTGAGCTGATCAACGGTAGTTTCCGCCAATCAACTGCAAATTGCAAACACTGCTTTCTATTTCCTGCGGAGAGATAGTATAAAATCTGAAAATCTAAGTGCTTTCGTAGTATCCAATTCAACAGTTTCTACATTACATTTGAGTTTGATCATTAACATTTAAACAAAATGTGTATACATTCTACATTGAGGAGAAACGAGGAACTTTGAACTTGAATTTGAACCGCCTATGGGATGTTTGAATGTCAAACTGAGCAGCTTGTTCAGTGTGATAGTCAATAAGTGGTGTAGCCGTATTGTTTTTGTCGTGCTGCTATGTGCTTTCTTCCTCATCGCGGACCAACTTACTAGTCACGTTACTATGCGCATTCCGCTGATCCCTATGCCCATTTCTACGTCCTGCCTACCTTCTTTAGAAACTGCTCTCTCAGACAGCCAGTCAGCGGAATACGGTGCATGTTTGTCTCAAAAAGAAACTATAAAATTTGCTTTGGACGCATGCTTGGCTTGGCGCTGGCAGGCGTAGAAATCACTACTTTTCAATAATAATATTTTGCAGCCATTTCAAATGCTACACGTAAAGTATATTCTTCGACCAACGTATTTAGGTTAGGCTTTGACACACTAATTCGGAAAGTTTCGTGGAGGCGTGGTAGGCGTAGAGAGTGTTTTCAAAAGTTCATCGTTGGCGGGAGGTTTATATTTCGATTTACGGATTAACGTTCACAGCGTGCCTTTGGAAGTTTCTGATGACCAAATATAGTTAAATGCCATTTGCAAAAACTTTTCTGTGCTGTTGTCAGCTTCGATTGCATTGCTGGAGCATGATCAGTTACGCAGCATGGAAGACGAAACGACGGAGTGACGTAGCAGCTAAACCAGTTCAGCACTTGCATGTTTTTACTTCCGATCTTCACCCATTTATCGTATGACCGGCGAACCGACAAAACGGCGTCGTTTGTCCATCAAAACGCCAAAAGCGACAGTTTGAAGCTCCTGACAGTTTTCATTCGCTCTCTGTATTTCGGAAGTTTCTAGATTCCTCGGTGCCTTTCCGGGAAGTAACGGAATTTTTATTTTTGCGAACGTTAATAATTACGCAACTCATTAATGGTCACATGATTACTTTCAAATTTGGCGATTGATTTCGATGTTACTTGGTTCCTTGTCAAACCTAGAGTACTTGAATGTTTACCGTACATTTATCGGTAATATGCAAACATGATGCAGTGATACTCTTCCGTTGGCGTTGGCGTGGCGAAGAACGAATGACGACGGAAGTACGAGGTCGCATGTGAGAATAAAGGGCTGCCGCAGGACGTCTGGAAAGTTCAACTTGGAAGTGTCATACTACAGTGAGCAAACCTATATTTCCGTTATCATACATCATTTCCAATATG